TCCTCTATCATTTCTCTCTCAGTCTTTTCATGTCTATCTTTCCAAAAATTATCCCCACTATCTCTCCACAGTTTTTTTTCTCTCTTTTCATATGATTTTTCCTTCATTTCTCTCCCCCCTCTCTCTCTCTCTCTCTCTCTCTCAGATTTTTTTTATATATATATATATATATATATATATTAATTTCATCTCTCTGTGTGTGCGTGTGTGTGTGTGTCTTTTTATTTTTTCATTCATCTCTCTCTCTCTCTCTCTCTCTCTCTCTCTCTCCCTCTTTTCATACAAGGTGTAATGAGTAAATTCATATTTTTAATTTCGCGCATGCGTGTTGTCTGTTTTTGATTTTGTGGACTGCACAGTCTAATAGGGTCATTTGGGCACCATCTGTGAGAAAAAGTGCACCATGTCGCAATCCATTCCGCCAGATATTTGTAAACGACATGTTGTACTGCTTGGCATTCGCGCCGGAAGCTCCAATACGAACATTTCAGAGTGTTGGGGTGGCAATCTGAGGACAGTACAGAGGAATCGAAAACACTTGGATGTGTCTAATGGCCATTACGAAGGTGTTTGGAGTGATCACTAGTGATGGCAACATTATAACTCCATTCATCTTCCCACAGGGCCTCAGACTCAACACGAAGACCTACATCAAGTACAGTGGGGAGTTAGTACTGCCCGGGGTCAAGAGGATGGCTGCTGGAAGACCCTATTTCTGGCAACAGGACTCTGGACAATGTCACACAAACAGGAGAACCCAGTCATGTCTGTTAAACAATTTATGCGACCACACCACCCCTTATATCTGGCCACCTAACTGTAAACACCTTGATTATGTGTGGGACGCAGTTGAACAAAAGACCAAAAAAAACCTTGTAAACACCATAGATGAACTGAAGGAAAGGATTATGGTAGCATTTACCAACCTAAACAAAGAAACTATCCAGAAGAATTGCAGGAGATTCCGAAGTCGTCTGGAGGCCATGGTTGAATTCAATGGCGATTTTATTGAATAATTTTACTCTTTAGTATTTTAAGATATTTTTGTGTCATTTTGGTAAATATATCAGTGTCAGTGTTATTTTCATTTTTTTCGTCATTTAGCTGGCAATTTATCCATCGTACCCTGTATATATAATAGTTGGACACTCATATTCGAGGATACCCGTCTATTAGGGCAGCTAGCCAATTCCTATTGCTGACGCTCGCTCAGGCACATTTGTGTTTGTTCAACACCCACAGAGCCAACCTCTGGTTTATAATGCAACTATGCTGAGCTATGTTTAGTTACAGTTTCTGGGAGAGAGCGTGTTATCTAGCGTGATCAACAACTTACCAGAATATATATATATATATATATATATATATATATATATATATAGATAGATAGATAGATAGATAGATAATATTAGTGGTAAATATACACATACAGATGCAAAATATGTAAATATATATACATAGGTGCATACACATACATATATTTTTTTAATAAAAAATAAATCCAAGAGGATAGAATCCAGGGAGAACTCAATGGCCAGGACAGAGTAAGGATATAATAAAAAGGCTTAAACACTAATATTCTATATATATATATATATATATATATATATATATAAATATATATATATATATATATATATATATATATATATATATATATATATATATATATATATATATATATATATATATATATATATATATATATATATATATATATATATATATATATATATATATATATATATATATATATATATATATATAACATGGGAATCTCATAAATATTTACAAACTTTTTGAAAAAAGTTAAAGTGCAAGAATGTTGTTTCAGAAAACCAACATGTTAGTAAAACAATAATTCTATGTAAAACATACATGTAATTTAAATATTACATATAAATATATAAAAACATTAGATGTTTTTTACAACTCTTATTATTTTCAGCCTTTTCTAACAATTTCTCTTTTAACACGCACACACATACATACATACATATATATATATATATATATATATATATATATATATATATATAGTAAGACTTGATCACCGAAACTTGAATGTACTCCGCTTACGAATACCGTCACGTTTTCTTTTCCTGTCAAGTCAACATCGTAATAAGTTTTAATCTTACGTTACTCTGGAATTGGTCACGTGGGAGCCGAAGGTTTGCAGTGAAATTCACAACTCCAACTGACAAACTCGCTTTTCCTCCCAGTAGAATAGGACTTTTGACAGAATGCAACTGCTGTTACGACTTATAATTCTGTTGCTGTAGTTAATGTCGGCATCGGTTCCCAGATAAATCGAGAGACAGGACGAAAAACACACATAGACAAATGGCTACTTTTATGTCCGTTGCAGTGATACGCACAAGTACTGAACACATCAAAATATGAACCCCAAAATACCATTCCGACCTTTAACTAAAGTGATGGAATGACAGCAAATCTTCAACATCAGCATCAGCATCAGCAGCAGTTTGTAACAAAAAAGAAAATCTTCAATGAATGCAATCAAGCATGACAAGCATCAGGTTAGGTTTAAGGCTCCAAGTTCTGCACAGAAAATTGTCCCACGAGACAATAGCCTAGTTGTTTAAAGCATTATTTCGTAACATTTGGTGACATATTCTATACTTTTTCTGTTTGCCCGTGTTTTATTTGTCATGGATTTATTAAAATTGGGTTTAAGCCGCTGTTTTAAGATATTATTAGAGCGACTCAGTTTCTCATTTTTCTCAGGTTTCTTCTGCATAGCAATGTCCAATTCTGCTATTTCCTTGATTTGACTTCTGAATGTTTACTTATAATTATTTTTTCCCTTTCATGCTATTGTGTCTCTTGGATTTCTGCCCAGCCTTCAAGTCATTTTGATGCAGTTTATGGAAGATACTTAAAGCAACAGAAATGTGGTTCTACAGAAGGATGCTGAGGATAACATGAACCGAATATATGGACAACGACGAGGTTTTAGAGAAATTAGAAACAAAGTGGACACATACTTAACACCAGGAAGAGACAGTTGAAATTTCTGGGGTACATAATAAGGAAAGACGGTTTGGAAAATCTGTTACTCACAGGACAGATTGAAGGCAAGAGGAACAGAAGAAAACTGTGCATAACATACTTGATGAACTTGAGAAAATTCATGACGGAACAGGGTTTCGAAATAACGAAAAGGTAGAATTTTAGAACGGCAAGAGACAAGAAATTGTGGAGAGCCATGATTGCCTATGTCCTGATGGAACACATCACATGAAAAGTGCTAAAAATGTGTCAGCCTGATCCATTTCTCAAAATCAGTATTTCAATGACCAAAAATCATAATACTAGTAAGCAGCTTTTATTTACTTTATCTCGAAAATTATTCGAGTCCCTTGATGAGGGAGTCGATGCAGTCCTAAAAGCTATTTATCTTCCTCCCTAATATCTCTTGGGTGTAGCGTTTAATGCTTTTTTTTTTTTTTTTTTTTTTTCATGTTTTGTTGTTCAGTTCCCGTTTGGGTTCTCCTGTTGTCCAGTTTAAGAAGGGTTCAGAGTACATCACAAAGTATACAGCCAAGGTATTTATAAAGTCTTGCTGCAGATTTTGGTCTCTATCGTTTTCCGTCTTCTTTTTGGCGTCTCTTTAATGTCTCGTCTTTCATCCCTATTCTGTTAATGTTGAGTTACCAAATCCCTAGCTTACCAAATCCTTAGCCCAAAATCACTTTCAGAATGCTCTATTAAATTTTGTTTAGTTTTCCGATAATTTGCTGATTGTAGTTCAATTCCTTTTGTTGCTACTTTTTTTTTATGTCTGCTCGTATTGTATATTTCTCAATGTCAGTTTTCTTTCCGATATCCTGGCTGAACGTTCTGATTTTTGTAACAGATCCGTTATTTATTTTTTTTTTTTCCTATTTTTATTTTTGTTAAAGCGGATCACTTTTAAACCTATCATATTCCAATCGTCACTTAAAAATCCTTGAGACAATTTATATTAAATCAAGACAACCATTATTATACAAACAGAAGGACCGGTTGTTAAGTCTTAATGTGATATCCCTATAGATATACTTGTAATATTATTATTATTATTATTAACATCATCATTACTTCAAACGTTATATTTAGTGGATGCCCGTATTTGAGTAAACGCTCCCTTTATTTTAAACAGTATATATTTATGTCTGAATTTCTGGAATTAGGAGTTATCGTTATTTGCACTATTCTATATTTGGATTATTTTCCTCATCTTTGTTGTTCTTATCACAATGACCGACGCGTTGTGATAAAAACAACAAAGATGAGGACAATAGTTCAAATCTAAATAATGTAAATATTTATATCGTCTACCGACCGGAAAACTTAAAAAAAATGTTCCTTTGGCAGGATTTGAACCTAAGGAGACATTTTCTTTATTAAGTTTTATCGAATAGATGAAATAAATAATGTTTAAAATAAACGGGAGGCTACTTAAATACGTTCATCCACAAAAAAACAAAATTTGAAGTAATTAAAATATATCAGATTAAAAAATAAAATCCATTAATTCTTTAGAAATATACTTGCATATATATTATTGATATGCGTGTATTTTCTTTCCTTATATTTCCATGTTTAGTCGGTCTGCGCTATTTTTTATTTACTCGGTCGAGTTCTGACTGCATGAGGAGCAATAACCGGTTATCTCATTCTATAATATTCTTTTATATATATATATATTTTTTTTATTTTCGTATTGCAAACTACTGTAGTTGTAGTTCCCTCCTGTCAGTGTTTTTATATCTGTTTTCATTACATTAATCAATTTTAATGTTTAGGTCGATTATGTGCGTGAGGGCTTCACCTTTGCCCAGGACTTTGTGAATCTATAACCTTGATTGCATTTCTTTAATACTAAAAGTATTAAAGAAATGATATTTCAGAACAAATTGTTGACCATTATTCAGTCTTTCTTATCAAATCGCAAAATGAAAATTATCTAGAACGGCCACTCTTCTAGATCTTTTTACATTAATGCAGGTGTCACCCAGGGCTCTATGCTTGAACCTATGTTGTCCTTAATTTACATCAACCACTTTCCTGGTGTCATCATCTATCAATTCACTATCTATGCTATTTACTCCTGCCTTAATGGTTCGATATGGTCAAATTGGCAGCTGATCTAAAAAAAACAAAAAAAAACTGACCAA